CTTGCCAGCCCCTGCTCCTAACCACCCCTGGGGGGGTGACCCCAGCTATACTCAGGTATCGCTCCTGGTGGTGTTCTGTGGGGACAGGGGACTGAACATTTAAATTTTTTCCTTCCTGTATTTTTTACATATGTATTTTTTCTTTGTACCTGGTTGTAGTTGTGGGGTGTCTGTATGTGTGTGTGTGTGTGTGTAGTGCTCCGAGCTTAACTCCTGGTTCTGAGCTTGCTCCTGGTGGGCTCAGAGGCCCATTTGGGGTGCAGAGGATCGAAACCAGGTTGGCCACATGCAAGACAAATGCCTCACCTGGTATACAATCACTGGCTCCATTTTGCACCTTATTGTACGCAGGTCTTATTCCTGGCTCTCTAGTCAGGGATCACCCCTGGTGTGCTCAGGGAACCAGATGAGGTATCAGGACTCGAACTCAGGTCGGCCACATGCAAAGTAAGCGCCTTACCAATGGTACTATCTCCAGCTGTATGATACATGTTTGCTTATTTAGGGGGACAGCCAAACCAGGCAATGCTCAGGGGTTACTCCTGGTTCTGAGCTCAGTGATCACTTCCGGTGGGGCTCAGGAGACCCTATGCGATGCCAGGGATCAAACCTGGTCAGCACAGTGCGAGGCAAGTGTCCTTCTCAGTTTACTGTCTCTAAAACCCACAAGTCCACGTGGATGAAATGGAAAGTTTGGGTTTTGTATTTTCCCCCATCCAAAGTTTAGCCTTGCCTCTGTTTTTTTGCAAATTACTCCTGGCAGTGCTCAGGGGCCCTATGGGATGTCACGGATTGAACCCAGGCTGGCCGCGTGCATGGCAAGCACCCATCCCTCTGTGCTATCACTCAGGATGGAAAGGATGCCGGAGAAGCAGAAGATCATAAGGGACCAACAATCCAGGCCACCAGGAGAAGTAGTTTGGATTTGCATGTTGTAATTCAAAGCAACGCTTTACGGCATCGCCACCAAGGTTCTTAAACGCTCACTTGGGGGCCGGGGATGTGGCTTCGGGGTCCAGCACACACCTCGCATGGGCGAGGCTCTGAAGCAGGTCCCAACAGAAAAGTCCCCGGCGCCTCCAGTAGGGCCCCTCCAACCCTGGGTCCCCACTAGACCCACGATCCTAACAGGCACGGGGAGGGAAGACCCCTACACCCCTGAAAAAGAGCCAAAACATAAATTGAAAAAAGGAAAATAGAAACCAAACCAAAAGCCCCTCCCTCACCTTTCAGGATGCGGCTCTTAGTGGTCCCCACGTCTGTGTCCGGCCAGGAGATCGCTGCCAGTTTGAATGTGGAGCTCCCTGTGCCCACGGAATGGCGGAACCCACAGATAAGTGACAAGGAAAAGAAAGCTCAGAGAGAACACAAAGGGTTAGAGTGAGAGTTTGGCATCAGGGCGCAAGTGTTGGAATCATGTGTTCCCCTGAGCACTGACCCAGGAGTAGCTGGTGATTATGAATAGCTGTCCCCCAAAGATATAAAGACAGAAAAGACAGTGTGACGAACCTTCCCCCGAATCATGTCCTGTGTTTTCTTTTTTCCTTTTTAGTATGGTTTTCTTGAGACTTTGTTTACTTTGTTTCTGAACCACACCTGGCTAGGCTCAAGGATGACTTCTGGCTCTGCACTCAGGAATTATTCCAGGCAGTGCTCGGGGGGACGATATGGGATGTCGGGGATGAACTCACACTGGCTGTGTGCAAGGCAAGAGCTCTACCTGCTGTACTATCATTTGGGCCCCACATTTTTTCTTTTTCTTTGGTTTTGGGACCAGAATCAGTGGTGCTAAGGACTCACTCCTGGCTCTGTGTGCAGGGGGGTCCCCCTCCCACTCCCCGTCCTGAGCAGGGCTTGGGAAATTCTTTGTGGAACCAGGGATCAAACTCAGGCCAGCCGTGTTTAAGGCAAGCGCCCTACTCATACCATTGCTCCAGCCCCTCAAGAGCCACTTTTTAAATGAGTCATCAGGGATGAAAATACAAGGGTGCTGAGAGGGACGCCTGTTGCTGTAACCCCTCCCCCTGGTCAGACCCCTGGGGGCCCACAAGGGTTTGTCAGCGCTCACCGATGGCCTGCAGGTGCTGGTCGATCTCCAGCATCACGTCCCTGTAGAGCTTCCTCTGAGAGGCATCCAGGCATGTCCACTCCTCCGGGGTGAAGTTCACAGCCACATCGGGGAAGGTCACTGCGTCCTGAGCCGACACACACAGCGGGCGGGAGTCAGGCCATCCACTACTTTCCATGGAGCATGAGGACGGGACCCCTGCCTCTACCCCCTAGCCCCTAGAGGGGCTCAGGGCCTCACCCCTTGGGAGGAACCAGCCTTCAGGACCTCCCTTCCAAGTACTCTCCTGGCTGACAGACCCCAGAAATCACTCGAAGGCAGCCAGGAGCCCAGGAAATGATCTCAGAATTACCCTGAGAGCTTTTAATCATATTTTCCCCATAGCTAAGTAAATCTGAGATACTCTAAGACATTTGTCCTGAACGTGGCCAACTCAGATTCAATGTCCAACACCTCCTATGGTTCCCCAAAGACCTCAAGGGGGTCACTCCTGAGCAGAGCAAGAAATAGCTCCTGATGGGGGCTGAAGTGATAGCACAGCAGGTAGGGCATTTGCCTTGCATGTGGCCGACCTGGGTTCGATTCCCAGCATCCCATATGGTCCCCTGAGCACCACCAGGAGTAATATTGGAGTGCATGAGCAAGGAGTAACCCCTGAGTATCACCAGGTGTGACCCAAAAAGCAAAGAAAAAATAAAAGAGAAATAGCTCCTGAGCACCATAAATAAAAAAAAAAAAAAAAAACCCAAGTCCAGAATAAATAAATCAATAAACCACCTGAATAGCGATCACTCAGAAGCCAAGTGCTCATCTGGAAAATGCAGTGGGTCGTTTCCCAAAGCCATGATTCCTGTTACCCCAGGCCACCCTTCCTGCTTACCTGAGACCACCTGGGCACCCCAGGACTCATCATTTCCTCTTATTATTTCCCAGGACAGGTGGAGAGGCTCTTTGTGAAAAAGACCTGGAAGAAAATGTGTAAGATACGCTGGCCACCCTGACACGACCCCACTGCCCTGACCCGAAGTCGCTGCACAGGAGCCAGAAACGCCCTGACTGGCCTCACCTTCAGGTACTGGTTCACAGTCCCACCTGGGGAAGATACTGCCACATGCTCCTTCCTCTCCTGGGCATGCAGAAGTGGGTTGGAATCCAGGCTGCCCATTGGGACAGGAGCACTGAGCAGGGGAGGAAACTGTAGCCCCGAACCCCTGGACTCCTTCTTGGGCCCCACACCTGGCCCAGGTCCTAGGCTCCAGGGATGACTTCAGGGTTGTACAGGAGAACATCAGTGCCCCTGAAAATGGCTCTGCCAGAGGGGTGGCCAAAGTGGCTCAGAGTGGACAAATGCTTGGGTGCCTCCTGCAGGGCGGATGGGAACATGGGACTGGGCGCCCCTCCTGGGTCCATGGTCACTTCAGGGCGTAGGTGAGCACAAGGCATAGCCCCAGGCCCACCCCATTGGCCCCGGGTTCCTTTGGGTCCTGCTGTGTTTCTGTTACCAGAGTGACCCGCTGCATTTGCTCTGTGTAAAGGCCAAATCCTAGAGAACTTCTCTGCTGGTCGCTCTATAAGAAAACAACGTCACCATTCACCTGCATTCATGTGGACCTGCTGTGTCTTGGTGTCTTACTTGATTATGGGATCTAATGTTCTAAACTAGGGGCCAGCTCAGAATCCAATGGGCAGAGTACTTCACTTGCGTTCGGCTAAAACAGATTTGATCCCAGCACCCCAAAGGGTCTCCAAGCCCACCAAGAGTGATCCCTGAGCCCAGAGCCAGGAGTAACCCTTGAGCACCTCTGGGGTGTATAGGCTGCCTTCAAAAACTTTATTTCCATTTAAATTTCTGCCGAATTCACTTTTTTAAAAATTTCATTTTAGGCTTGGTCCAGGGTGCTCAGGGCTCCTGCCTGAGCACTGAGTCCAAGCTCTCGGCCTTCCTTTACAGAGCCCATGCCCTGGGAACCTTCTCTGGCTCCAGTCTGGGCAGAAGCTGTCCCCAACTCCCGTTCCTTGGAATACCTAACACTCGGACAGGCTGCTCCCTCCAGGGAACGCTGCCTAGAAACAGCTTTCTGTTTTTATTTATTTTGCTTTTTTTTGGGTGTCATACCTGGCAATGCTCAGCGTCTGACTGAAGACAACACAGTTGAAAGAATCATTTCCGGGGGCAGGAGTGACAGTAGAGGGGGTAGGGCATTTGCCTTGCACACGCTGACACCAGCATCCCATAGGGTCCCCTGAGCACTGCCAGGAATTATTCCTGAGTGCCCAGCCAGGAGTAACCCCTGATCATCACGGGATGTGACCCCCCCTGCAAAAGCAAAAAATAAAAAAATCGTTTCTGATCAGATTTTTCAGACTTCAAATGAGTTCAAGGAAAACTGCTTGATTTGCCCTTAGGGACGCGTAAGTTTCCTTCCTATTTACCTCTTTCAGAACAATTGCCCGTTTCCTTAAAGTCCCATCTAAAGTCTGTCTCCTATGATTGCACACCTGGAAAAATCAGGGGTCCCTTGCATCACACTTAACCTCTCACCCCCTCAAGCAGTCTAACCTGGAACTGCTAAACTGACCGGAGAAATTCCCAGGGGAAACTCCCCTCCAACCCCCCACCCCAGGCTATCCAAGTTCTCAATTGTCCAGGGTAATGCCCCCGGCTTCCAATGACAACACCCCACCCCGCCTCGCAGGGGACAAGTAGATCCAGGCAGTGCTTAGAGCCCAGGGCGGTGGGCACTGCAGCTGTGATCACACCGATGCCCGCACATCCCACGCGGGGGACAGGAACCCCCCAATCCTGCCCCCCTACAGCAAGTCAGTCTGTGCCGTGCGGCCGTCCCGCGGCGCAGTCGCAAATCTCCCTCCCTGCCCGCCCCCAACCCCCACCCCCCAGCCCCCGCCAGCCCCTTCTCCCGAGCAGCTCAGCTGGAAAAGAGCTGTGGGCGCCGGTAAGTTTCTGGGTTGGGGGAGACAAAGATCGGGGGTGTCCCACATAGCACTCAGGCCCGGCAAGAACTCCGGCACTGCACGGTCCCTGCACCATCACACACACACACAGGGGTGTGGCCTGGAGGGTCCTGAGCGCCCCGGGTGCAGCAGCCCAGGCGTCGGGAGCCCCGCACCGTCCGGCTGCAAGGCCGGGCGGCCGCGAGCCCCCCAACTCCGAGCAAAGCCCACGGGGGCCCCTAAGCCATCGGGAACTGCAAAGACAAAGGCGATTCTGATGCCAGCCCCGTGCACGGGCCCGGGCCCGCCTCCCCCCCAGACTCACCCCCACATCCGGGGACCGGCGATCGGAGAGAGACGCAGGGTGGGTCCCGGGCCCTGGGCGGGCGCCGCAACAGACGCTTCTTCTTGGACGTCCCCCGCGGTCCCGGGGCGGCTTTTCCCCCCCGAACACGTGGATGAAGCGCCCCGCGGCTCGCAGTGTGGACAGCGTGGAGTTTCCGAGCTGTCGCAAGAGGCCCCTCGCCGTCCTGGGACAAAATCGCCCTTCAATGACCCCCTTCTCTCCGAGGGTCCCCTCACCCATCAGCTCCAAGGCCAGTTTCCTACGTCACTAGGTCCATTAAGAAGGAGCGGCGAATCGTAGGCGCGAGTGAATGACGTCACTTCCGCTCTGCGGGCCGCTTTAAAGGGCCAGCGTTGTCACGCTGCAGAGGTTTAGATTGGCTCGGAGGTAAATCCGTGGGCGTGGCTATGGGCGGGGTCTCACTGAAGGGCGGGGCTTGCAGGCGGGAAGCTCAATGCTGCAATTAGTTGTCTGGTGGCTGCAGGGTCAAATGGGGGCTTCCTTTGAAGTACTGAGTCTGCGTTTGTTTAATGCCACACTAATATTGATTCCCCTTGTCTTTTTTTTTTTTGCTTTTTGGGTCACACCTGGCGATGCACAGGGGTTACCCCTGGCTCTGCACTCAGGAGTTACTCCTGGCGGTGCTCAGGGGATGCTGGGAATCGAACCCGGGTCGGTCGCGTGCAAGGCAAACGCCCTACCTGCTGTGAGGCTATCTCTCCAGCCCCTCCCCTTATCATTTTTTAAATTTTATTTATTTGTTTTTTTGGTCACACCCAGAGATGGTGAGGGCTTGCTCCTCCTGGCTCTGTGCTCAGGAATCATTCCTGGCAGGGCCCTAGGGACCCTATGGTATGTTGAGGAACCAAACATCCATCGCCCGCTGCAAGGCAAACGCCCTCACTGCTGTACCAGATCGCTCTAAACCCTCCTTATTGCTTATCATTATAAGTAGTCTGATAGCTACTTCTCTGGTTCTGTGCTGAGTGATGTCTCATGGCAGGATTTGGGGACCACATGGAGTGCCGTATGGAACCTGGGTGGGTCTTGGAGCAGCACCTCAAAAGATGCTGTGCTGTCAGGCCTCTCCAAATTATGAAAGAGTCTTTCACACAGACAGCTTAACTTTTAAAGCATTTATTCTGGTTTTGGGGTTACACCCAGAGATGCTCGGGCCTTACTCCTGACTCTGCACTTACGAATCACTCTTGAGGAGGCTGGAGCAATAGCACAGGGGGTAGGGCGTTTGCCTTGCATGCGGCCGACCCAGGTTCAATTCCCAGCATCCCATATGGTCCCCTGAGCACCGCCAGGGGTATTTCCTGAGCTTAGAGCCAGGAGTAGACCCTGTGCATCGCCAGGTGTGACTCAAAAAGAAAAAAAAATCACTCTTGAGGCTGGAGCAGTAGCACAGCAGTTAGGGCGTTTGCCTTGCATGCGGCTGACCCGGGTTCGATTCCCAGCATCCCATAGGTCCTCTAGGAGTAATTCCTGAGTGCATGAGACAGGAGTAACCCCTGTGCATCGCTGGGTGTGACCCAAAAACCAAAAAAAAAAAAATCACTCTTGGCGGGGCTGAGGGACCCCTAGGGGATGTCAGAAATAGAATCCGGGTCTGCTGCATGCTAGGCAAACACCCTCCCCGCTGTCCTATCATTTCATCTAAAGCTCCAGATTTCTTTTGGGGTCACAACCGCAGTTCCCCAGGGAAAAACCGTGTTACAGTCCCTCATTTTCATGGCTGCAAGGAGGTGGGTGGGCGTCTGTTGGCGTGATCCTGGTGGTGGGTTGGCAAAGAAACCTTTGTGATTTTTGTTTGTTTGTTTGTTTTTTGTTTTTGAGCCCCATCCAGATTTGCTCAGGCCTTAATCCTGGCTCTGAGCTCAGTTATCACTCCTGGCGGGTTTGGGGAACTATCTGGGATACGGCGAATCAAACCCAAGTTGATCTCAGGCAATGCAAGTGCTTTAATGATCTCTCTGGCCCCATCCATTGTAATTTTCTCCTCCGAGAAAATTGTAATTATCTCTCCAGCCCCACAGCTCCCCATTCTTCATCTCTCCCAGACCTGGTGAACCCCAGCTGTTCGGGTCACCTGATCCAATCCTAGCGGAGAGGAAAAAAAAAAAAATCCCAGGGCTGGAGTGATAGCACAGCGGGTAGGGCATTTGCCTTGCACGCTGCCGACCCGGGTTCGATTCCCAGCATCCCATATGGTCCCCCGAGCACCGCCAGGGGTAATTCCTGAGTGCATGATCCAGGAGTAACCCCTGTGCATCGCCGGTGTGACCCAAAAAGGCAAAAAAAAAAAAAAAAAAAAACCTTGCCCGCCCGGGGCAGGAGCAATAGCACAGCGGCTAGGGCGTTTGCCTTCCACGCGGCCAACCCAGGTTCGATTCCCAGCATCCCATATGGTCCCCCGAGCACCGCCAGGGGTAATTCCTGAGTGCATGAGCCAGGAGTAACCCCTGTGCGTCGCCAGGTGTGACCCAAAAAGCAAAAAAAAAAAAAAAAAAAAAAAAATCCCTTGCCCGGCCTGATCAGTATCTGGCACCGGTCCCTTTAAGGCTGCCGCCGGAAGTGGCGGTGACGTCACGGACTCCGAGTCTTTTTCTCTCAGGCCCGGCGCCTCGTAGGCGGTCGCGTCGCTCGGCCGCCATTGCTGCGGAAGGTGAGGAGCCGGTAAGGGGGTCCCGGCGGGGAGCAGGGGGGCCTGGAAGGCCGATTTCGTCTCTGGCCGCCTAGTGGCCACTGTGGGCACCCTGAGCCGCCCCGGTCTCCGCCGTGTGAGCGCCGGGGCCGCCCCGCGAAGCGCTCGGTCAATGGCGGCCCCCGCGGGACCGGGAAGAACCGAGCGCTCTCGGGGAATGATGCAGTTCATCGAATCATCTCCAGATGAGATGAACTGCATCTCATCTGGAGCCACGAGATCGGTTTTTTTTTTTTTTGTGAAACCGAAGAGCCTTAGACCAGGGGCGCGGACGTGGGAAGAGGGACCACGTGATTGTAGGGCGGACTCGGGTGCGAGGAGGGTACGAACCCCACGGGGGAGGTTTGAGAGAGAAAAAACAAACAAAAAAAAAAAACCGTTGAAGCGGGGTTGATGGGTGCCGGCGGGCGCAAGGGGGCCGCGAACCCAGACCCTCCCGAGGAAGCAGCCTCAGTTTCCCCGAAGCGGGGAGGGGGCGAGTGCGGGGGAAGTCAGAATGGGGAATTCCAGTTTTATTTTTTATTTTTGCCCTGTTTGTTTTTGTTTTGGGCGCCACACCCGGCCGTGCTCGCGCAGACTCCGGGCTGTGCGCTCAGGGGTCACTCCCGAGGCTGCCCCTAAGTAGTAAGGGGTGCCGGGGATCGAACCCGGGTCGGCCGCCTGCACAGCTTGCCCTCCGGCTGGCCTCTGGCTCCGCCCCCAGAAGCGGGACTTAATGGGCCTGATTCAGGTGCAGCCGCCTCTGCGTCTGCGTCTGCGTCTGCGCCTGGGCACGTGCGCTCTGACCTGGGTGGGGGGGCGTCCTTGGGAGGCGGATTTTCCTATTTGTGTGGGTGCTCAGCCTCTTGATCTTCTGGTGGTCCCGGAGGTCCCCAGGGTTCTGGATGTGGTGGGGCTTTAGTTGTTTTTGTGGTTCCTCCTGGCTCTGCACTCAGGAACCACCCCTGGCAGTGCTCGGGGAACCCTATGGGACGCTGGGAATCGAACCCGGGACGGCTGTGTGCAACGCGAACGCCCTCCCCGCTGTGTTAATCGCTCCAGCCCCAAACGCGGCGTTTTTTAAGTTTTTGATTTTTTTTTTCGGGGGGTCACACCCGGAGATGCTCAGGGGTTACTCCTGGCTCATGCACTCAGGAATTGCTCCTGGCGGTGCTCAGGGGACCATATGGGGTGCTGGGACTCGAACCTGTGTTGTCATGTTGGCTGCGTGCAAGGCAAACGCCCTACCCGCTGTGCTATCACTCCAGCCCCAAGTTTTTAATTTCTTGGGTTTTTTTTTTTTTTGCGGGTAGTGGGGGTGCAGCGGAGTTAAGTACGTGTAGGTGCTGAAACTGGGGGGCGGGGAGGGGTACCTGCGGCCACGATCGCCCTCCAATTCCCGGGATAGGGCTACTTGCAGGCTGCGCAGTGCTGAGTGTGGTGTGGGGGACTGCGGGCATTGGGGTCCCCTGCAGGGGATTGGACCATCCAAAGCATCCCTCCACGGGGCCACAAAGCTTGGGTCCTTATACCACAGATACTGCCAGTGTGGCCCCTCCAGATTCACTTTCGGGGCCAGGGCCACAGTCACCCCCAACCCAAGGAGGACCCTCAGTCATTTTTCACTGGCTGCGTGAAGGGGACTGGGCACATCTAGAAACATTTTGGGTTTTGTTTTTGTTTTACATTTTTGGTTCACACCTGGCAATGCTATGGGGTTACTCTTGGCTCTGCACTCAAGAATTACTCTTAGCGGGGCTGGAGCGGTAGTACAGCGGGTAGGGCATTTATTTGCCTTGAATGCCACCAACCCAGGTTTGATTCCCAGCATCCCACATGGCCCCCAGCACCGCCAGGGGTAATACCTGAGTGCAGAGCCAGGAGTAACTCCTGTGCATCGCAGGGTGTGGCCCAAAAAAAGCAAAACAAAACAAAAAGAATTACTCTTAGCAGTGGGGGGTGTGGGGGGAGGGTGGTGCTATGGGATGCCGGGGATTGAACTGGGTTGGCTGCATGCAAGGCAGATGCCCCTCTCTCTTATTGCTCCAGCCCTACATATGGAACTTAAGGAAGTTTGGGGTTTTTTTGTGGGGGGTGGTCATGCCCAGCGTTCCACTGGGGTTATTCCTGGCTCATGCACTCAGGAATTACTCCTGGTGGTGCTTGGGGATCATATGGGATGCTAGGAATCGAACCTGGGCCGCGCGCAAGGCAGACGCCCTACCTGCTGTGCTGCTGCTCTAGCCCTGGGGTTGTTTTTTTGTTTTGCATGTGGATTTGTTGAAAATCAAGCATTTGAGGAAAATAAAGAGAGGGCAGACCAGAGGTAGATTTGGATGGAGCTGGGGCTGTGTCTAGTGCTCACCCAGGCCCTACTGACCTTGGGAGGGAGCACCCCAGCTCATTACTGTCCACGCCGGGCTGTGGGCGTAGTTGGCAGTGGTGTTGCCAGCCTGCAGGAGGTGCTGAGGTGCAGTGGTCCATCCTCGGCAGAGGTATGGCATCTTGGGGCTCAGTACTTCTATTTCCTTCCTGGAGGGCCACGGGCACCCTGGATGCCAATCGGCTTCTGCATCCCCAGAAGAGGAAGGAGCATCTGGCACTGCCTACCCCAGTGGAACTGTGAGCCTGTGCTGGAGGATGCGGCCAGTCAGGGCATTTCCGGCTCCCATGCAGGGACTTGTCAGGGGTGGGGTGCTCCTCTCTGGTGCTCACGGTGCTGCCTTCTCCAGGTCTTTGCACGGAGCCTCACTGCTGATCCCCAGGAATAACAGGCTGGAGAAGATGGTGACGCACCGTCTGACACACAGTCCTCAGGTAGGAGGGGAGTGTGATTTCAGGGACTGCCGTGACACAGTGACTCGAGCCCACAGTGCTCTGGGCCACGCATCTCCTGGGTGGTTTTCTAAAAAAATTTGTGGCCCGGGGTGTTGCTCCTGGCCCCAGCGCCCAGCTCTGTTCTTTGAGGCGTGTTTGTGGGTGTTTGTTTTGTTCTGTTTGGTTTGGGGGCCATGCCAGCGATGCTCAACCCCCAGCAGGCGATGCTGAAGGATCACACTTGGCCCATCTGGGGGACCCTTTGAGGGGTGGGGGATGGGGGGGGCGGGTCCTGGGCTGGCTTCCTGGTAGCCTGGTGCCTGGTGTGGCTGCAGAGTTAAACCATGTGGTCTCTTGAAGATTTGCTGCTGCCGCTTCTGGTGCATGGCTCTGCTCGTTTATCTTCCATACCTTCCCAAGGCAGGAAGATGGACCTGCCTTGTCGCCACTGTCACTCTGGGGGCCCACAGACGCCACTGCGCAGTCTTGGGGCTCCAGACTCTGGTGAGGGATTTCAGCCTATGAATGGAAGCATCCTAGCTTTGTTCCCTCCAGCCCCCCATCCCCCCGCCACACACACACACACACACACACACACACACACACACACTCTTGTCTCTGTTGGTTTTGTTTTGTGATTGTCCTCAAGTGCCAATACTTGGTTAGATGCCAGGAATCAATCCTGGCAGGAGTGCAGTAGGATGCAGGAGGCTGAAACCTGGAATGCTGCATGCAAGAAAGCACCCTACCCTATCATCTTTCTGGCTCTCTGTTTGGGATGCTTGTTGGTTGTGGTTTTTTTCCCCCTTCTGTTGTGTTTGTGAGCTTGGTGTTTTGTTTTGGTTTTTTGAAGTTTTATCTATGCCATTTATATATTAATTTATTTTAATGGCTCACCGTGAGGTACAGTTACAGACTTAAAAACTTTTTTTTTTTTTTTTTTTTTTTTTTATTTATTTAATCACTGTGGGAAAGGTTACAAAGCTTTCAGGTTTATGTTTCAGTCATGCAAATATCAAACACATTTCCCTTTACCAATACTTATTTTTTACCATGAAGAACCCCAATAAAACCCCACCCCCCACCCCTCCCCGTCCCTGTGAGGCAGATGAATTCTAGTTAACACTCTATCTGCTTTGATTAGATTCATTGTTTCAATAAAAGATTCACCACTATTATTTAGAGTTTACCCCCCCCCCCCCCCAGATCAGACATGCTGAAAAAGCATTGTGAAGTGATTTGCTTTCTAGAGCTGGGTTAAAGAATTATAAATGTTGGTTTTGGATTTCTGCTATTTTACCTATTGACCCTGGAAGTATTTCTACTGAAAGTCAGATAGTTAAGAAACTGGTTTCTGTGTTCTGGAGTCTTGGCCGTGCTGGAGAGCCGCTCGCGGGGGGCAACCGGTGGCCTCGGTAGGGCGTGAAGGGCGGAGCGAAACGCCCCCCTTCCCATGAGGTTTTAGTCGCCCCCACACTCCCGGCTCATACCTGCTGTCCACAAGGCACCCATGTGGCCGCCATCTTTCTTTCCAGAGAGGAGAGGGCGAATGGGGCAACACCCTTTCCCCTCCGGCAGACTTGATGGGCTGGATCAACGCATAGTCCGTTCACTTTTCTGCTCCAAGCTGCTGGGTTCTGCATTAAGTCCTTGTGCTTCTGGGGCCATGGCCATGCTGGAGAGCCGCTCGCGGGGGGCGACTTGTGGCCTCGGTAGGGCGTGAAGGACGGACCAGAACGCCCCCCGACCCATGAGGTTTTAGTCACCCCCACTCCCCCGGCTCATACCTGCTGTCCACAAGGCTCCCATGTGGCCGCCATCTTTCTTTCCAGAGAGGAGAGGGCGAATGGGGCAACACCCTTCCCCCTCCGGCAGACTTGATGGCCTGGGTCAACGCATAGTCCGTTCACTTTTCTGCTCCAAGCTGCTGGGTTCTGCATTAAGTCCTTGTGCTTCTGGGGCCGTGGCTGAGCTGAAGAGCCGCTTGTGGGGGGTGACTGGTGACCTCGGTAGGGCGTGAAGGACGGACCGGAACGCCCCCCTTCCCATGAGGTTTTAGTCGCCCCCACATCCCCGGCTCATACCTGCTGTCCGCAAGGCTCCCATGTGGCCGCCATCTTTCTTTCCAGAGGGAGGAGGGCGGAAGGGAGCAACACCCTTTCCCCTCTGGGCAGACTTGATGGCCTGGATTAACGCATAGTCCTTTCACTTTTCTGCTCCAAGCTGCTGGGTTCTGCATTAAGCCCTTGTGCTTCTGGGGCTGTGGCCGTGCTGGAGAGCCGCTCGTGGGGGGCAGCTGGTGACCTCGGTAGGGCGTGAAGGACGGACCAGAACGCCCCCCTTCCCATGAGGTTTTAGTCGCCCCCACACCCCCGGCTCATACCTGCTGTCCACAAGGCTCCCATGTGGCCGCCATCTTTCTTTCCAGAGAGGAGAGGGCGAATGGGGCAACACCCTTTCCCCTCCGGCAGACTTGATGGCCTGGGTCAACGCATAGTCCTTTCACTTTTCTGCTCCAAGCTGCTGGGTTCTGCATTAAGTCCTTGTGCTTCTGGGGCCGTGGCTGAGCTGAAGAGCCGCTTGTGGGGGGTGACTGGTGACCTCGGTAGGGCGTGAAGGACGGACCGGAACGCCCCCCTTCCCATGAGGTTTTAGTCGCCCCCACATCCCCGGCTCATACCTGCTGTCCGCAAGGCTCCCATGTGGCCGCCATCTTTCTTTCCAGAGGGAGGAGGGCGGAAGGGAGCAACACCCTTTCCCCTCTGGGCAGACTTGATGGCCTGGATTAACGCATAGTCCTTTCACTTTTCTGCTCCAAGCTGCTGGGTTCTGCATTAAGCCCTTGTGCTTCTGGGGCTGTGGCCGTGCTGGAGAGCCGCTCGTGGGGGGCAGCTGGTGACCTCGGTAGGGCGTGAAGGACGGACCAGAACGCCCCCCTTCCCATGAGGTTTTAGTCGCCCCCACACCCCCGGCTCATACCTGCTGTCCACAAGGCTCCCATGTGGCCGCCATCCTTCTTTCCAGAGAAGAGAGGGCGAATGGGGCAACACCCTTTCCCCTCCGGCAGACTTGATGGCCTGGATTAACGCATAGTCCTTTCACTTTTCTGCTCTAAGCTGCTGGGTTCTGCATTAAGTCCTTGTGTTTCTGGGGCTGTGGCCGTGCTCCAAACTTAACTCTGACTTTCAGGGAGAAAGATTGGGTGGTTTACTTCTTATTGATCACTTTGTATATAGATGTCGCGCGGCCGCGTAAGCGGCCGCGCGGTTTTGAGAAAAAGTCCTCGTTCCCGCATACTCGAGCTGTGTTTGTAGAGGCTTCTGGTCACCGGGGTTCCATCTGGGGGAGGTGGGATGCGGCACCTACTCCATCTGGAACTTGCGGGTGATCTTTTTGGAACCTGTTTTTTCTTTTTTCTTTTTCCTCCGGGCTCCCGCACCCTCCATGTGTTTTTTCTCTTATGCTGAACGCTTCAAAGATGGCCCAGACTTAAAAACTTTTGTGCTTGCGTTTTCAGTCATACAATGATCGAGTACCCATCTCTCCACCAGTGCCCCTTCTCCACCACCAATGTTCCCAGTATCCCTCCCACACCCCCACCCCACCTGTGTGGCAGGCACATTCCCCTTTACACTCTTTCTCTCTCTCTCTCTCTCTCTCTCTCTCTCTCTACTTTAGGGTGTTGTGGTTTACAGTGCAGGTATTAAGTGGCCATCATGTTTGGTCTATAGTTTACTTTCAGCACGCATCTCCCATCCTGAGCGGGCCCTCCAAGCATTCTTTACTTGATGGTCCCTTCTCTATCTGAGCTGCCTTTTCCCCCAGCATGTGAGGCCGGCTTCCAAGCCGTGGAGCAATCCTCCTGGTCTTTATCTACTATCCTTGGGTGTTAGTTTTCCATTCTGTTACTTTATATTCCACAAATGAGTGCAGTCTTCTGTCTGTCCCTCTCTTTCTGACTCATTTCACTAAGCATGATACTCTCCTTGTTGATCCACTCATATGCAAATTTCATGACTTCATTTTTTTTTCTAACACCTGCATAGTATTCCTTTGTGTAGATGTACCAAGGTTTCTTTAACCAGTCATCTGTTCTCAAGTACTTGGGTTTTTTCCAGATTCTGACTATTACAAACAGTGCTGCAATGAACATACGAGTGCAGATGTCATTTCTACTATACTTTTTTTTGCCTGTCCGGGATATATTCCCAGAAGTGGTATTGCTGGGTCAAATGGGAGATCAATTTCTAATTTTTTGAGAAGAGTGTTTTGGTTTTTAGCTATTGTGCCTCACAGGGATGTTCCTGGCTTCCTCTTGGCTCTGCACTCTGGGATCACTTCTGGGGTGTCCTGTGGCCTGAAGGTATGCCCAGGATCAGACCTGGATTGATTTTATAAGCATCCTACTTCAACTGTCACTTCTGCCTCCAGACCTGCATTTCTTTTTTTTTCTCCACTTTTTTTAAAAAAAATTTATTTATTGAATCACCGTGAGAAAAGTTACAAAGTTTTCAGATTTAAGTCTCTTCCATGCAGTGATCAAACACCCCTCCCCTCACCAGTAATTATTTTTCATCACCAAGAACCCCAGTATAACCCCTCCTCCCACCCCTCCCGATGCCTGCGAGGCAGATGACTTTTACATAACTCTCTGTCTACTTTGATTACATTCACTATTTCTACAAAAGATGCACCATTATTGTTTGGAATTTCCCCCCAACAATCAGAACTGCTGAAAAGGCATTGTGAAATAATTTGTTTTCTGTTGGTGGTTATGAAAACCAGATGGTGTCGTGCGGCCGCGATTTTTGGATTTCTGACATTTTACTAATTAAGTCTGGAGGGATTTCTGCCAAGAGCTGGATAATTACGAGTTTAGTTTCTGTGCATCTGGTGCCATGGCCGTGCCAGAGAGCCGCTCGTGGGGGGCCACTCATGGCCTCGGTTGGGTGTGAAGGATGAGCCGCTTCCTCCCCCCTTCCCATGAGGCTGAAGTTGCCCTGTCACCGCTGGCTCATACCTGGCTTTCCAATAAGCTCAGGCGGTGGCCACCGTGTTGCGGGGGTGGGGAGGCGGAAGAGACAGACACCCTTTCCCTCCCGGGGTGGGGGGAGCATGGCACCGTAGTTTAATGCATAGTCCATTCACATTCCTGCCGCAAGCTGCTGGGCTCTGGATGTAGTCCGTGTGCCTCTGGTGCCATGGCCGAGCCCCTTTTTCCCCACTTTTCAAAAGAGGTTGCAAAAGAGGTTTTTGTTTGTTTTAATATTTATTTATTTATTTATTTTGCTTTTTGGGGTCACACCCGGCGATGCTCAGGGGTTACTCCTGGTTCATGCACTCAGGAATTACTCCTGGCGGTGCTCGGGGGACCCTATGGGATGCTGGGAATCGAACCCGGGTCGGCCGCATGCAAGGCAAATGCCCTACCCACTGTGCTATCATTCCAGCCCCTGTTCTAATATTTTAATTGAATCACCTGAAGCATGCAGTTACAGAGTTGTTCAGGATGGAGTTTGAGATCTAAACATTTCGATACCTTATCCTTTCACTGTGTTCATTTCCTGCCTCGATGTTCCCAGTTTGCCCCTGCTGTTCCCCCAACTTGCTCTAAGGGGGTAGAGCAAACTGACACACTCACACTCTCTCTCTTCCTCCCTCCCCCCTCTTTCTTTCTCCTCTCTTCTCACTCTTCTCTCTTCCCTTCCTTCCCTCATTTTCCAAAAGGCACTGTGTTTTGCAGTGCTGCTACTGAGAGGTTATCATGTATATCCCTTTCCCTCATTTCAGCACTCAGTTTCTTTTTTTTTTTTTTTGTAGGAGTACTGCTATTTAGCACTCAGTTTTTATCCAGAGTGATCGTTTCCAACTATCACTGTCACAGTGGTCCCTGCTCTGTCCTAACTGCACTCCTCCTGGCCCTGGTTTCTACTGTCTGTATTTACATGCTTACGTTATTTACATGTTTTCTTACTTTCGCCTTTTCTTTTTCCTTTTTGAATCCCACAAGTGAGTGCTGTCAGTCCGTGTTTGTCTCTCTCCCTCTGACTCTTTTCGCTCAGCAAGGTCCTCTCCATGTCCACCCGTGTATAAGCACCATTTTCCAGCTTCATTTTCCCTGACAGCTGTGCAGTGTTCCATTGTGTGTTCCAGATGTTTCCTTATCCACTCACCTGTTCTCGGGCACTTGCGTTGTTTCTAAATCCTGGGTATTGGGACTAGTACTGCAATGAACATAGTGCTGATGGCATATCCGCAGTGTTATTGGGCCACTAGGGTATATGAGTTTCTGCCTTCCTGTCCTCGGGCCAGTCTCCCTCCCTAAAACCTCCCTCTTCTCTTTCACTTCTCAAAGCTGTGGCTACAGTGACGTCGCCTTGTGGCTCTTTGCGGGAAACAGGAGTGAAGGGTCTTTGGGGTTGGCAGAGATGTTGGGAGCTGAGTCGGTTTTTCCTGCTTCAGAAGGGGGGGGGGGGGGCGAGTGCTGAGTCAGACAATTGAGATTCTGAGCCGCTTCCTGGACCTGGCATGGCCCCTTCTCATCCCTAGTGCCCTGGGCAGAGATGGGGAGAGGTCCATTTAGGGTTTTGGGTCACTCCTACTGACTCTGGGCTTGAGTGTTAATGCCCAACACTGCTGAAGGAACCCAGGAATGCCAGGATTGGCCCTGGGGTGGCTGTGTGTAAGGTTGGCACCTGCAGGAACCTTCCAGCATAGCGTCCTCACGTTAGCAGGTCTGGCTTTCTTAGAATGATTTCTGGGGCCTATCAGCCAGGAGTGTGCATGGAGGCTGGTTCCTCCCAAGGGTCCTGAGCCCCTCTAGAGTTCAAGGGGAGGTGCCGTCTTCATGGCTCTAGGAACAGAGTGGGGGTGGGACTCTGACTCCTGCCCCCCTGTGTGTGCCGGCTCAGGACGCGGTGACCTTCCCTGATGTGGCTGTGAGCTTCTCCCCTGAGGAGTGGATGTGCCTGGATGCCTCTCAGAGAACACTCTACAGGGACGTGATGCTGGAGATCTACCAGCACTTGCAGGCTGTCGGTGAGAGCTGCTGGGTCTGCCACCCGGCAAACCCACATGGGCTCCCAGGCGGGGGTGGGGGGGGAGGGAAGGGGGTGTCTCAGGCCTAGGCCCCTCAGCATCTGTGCTAGCCCTGTGCACAGCTGTGGCTCTGAGTGTTTCTTGTCCATTTTTGTTTTGGGGTTTTTGTGCTACACCTGGCAGTGCTGAGGGATCACTCCTGTCAGCCTCATGGGACCATCGGTCTCGCCATGGATTGAACCTCAGGCTTGCCGCATGCAGGACAAGCGCCCTACGTGCTGGACTGCCCCGGCCCCCAGATCATTCCTTCCCTTCACTACGTCCATTTACTTCAGTTGTTTTGTTTGTTTACTGGTACCACAAGAAAACCCAAACCACTCCTACTCTGCGTCACTTGCATGGTGCTTGGGCGACAGTGTCTTGCACGGCAGGTGCCATGACCCTTTGTGTCACCACCCTGAGCTCAATTTGACTAACTGTTATTATATATATTAAAATTTTCTTTTTAAAAAAACAAGTGGGGTTGGCTCGCCAGCCCTGGTGCTGTTCAGGGCCTGCTATAGCTCTGTGCTCAGGTGTCACTCCTGGAAGGGCTCGGGCTCAGTGCAGAGTGCCGGGGAACGAACCCCGTATGCCTCTTGCCAGGCCAGCACTAGACTATTGCTCCCGCCCCCATATAATCTGACTCCCATGATTTAAACCTGGGTCTTCTCTTAACTAGTCCGTCTGTGGCACCGCCAAGGTACAGATTCTGTTCATAGCTTTTCAGTAATTTGCCCGGTTTCGTTAGGGACACACAGGGTTGACCTGTTGCCTTTTCCTTGTCACTAATCCGTGCCTCCATCTCTGGGAGCAGGGCATTCCGGGGTGAAGCCTGCGATGATCACCTGGCTGGAAGGAGCTCTGAAGTCGGAGAGGAGAGGTGCGTTTGCAGGTGAGTGTGTGGTGGCTCTGAGCGCCTCTGACACCTCGGACATTTGGGCCCCTGGACCCAGGCGTCTGGCACACTTGCTCTGCCCTTCACTCCCCTGGACTGTCTGTCATGGAATGATTCTGCGCGTTCCTCTCTTGGCTTTGTTCCAAGAAATTCCTTTTTCCTCATGTGTCAGAGGTTCAGAATAACCCCTTCGCTTCGGGGCCTTTTATCCGTCCACTCCGTGCCTTACCAGTCTGGCTGCACCTGCTTCAGTGCCAGACTGCCCTTTTCAGGTGCAGTTGGGCACCCCTCAGCCCTCTCTGTCCCCACCCTTGCCTCTGCTTTCTGATCAGTAGTATAATTTTTTTTTTTTTAAGATTTCTACGGAGTAATTTTTTCTTTTGTTTTTTTTTTTCTTTTTAATTTTTTTTTTATTTGGGTCATACCAGTCGATGATCAGGGGTTACGCCTGGCTCTGAACTCAGAAATTATTCCTGGTGGTGCTTGGGGGACTATATGGGATACCAGGAATCCAACCCAGGTTGGCCACATACAAGGCAAGTGCCCTACCTGCTGTACTATTGCTCTGGCCCAGTTGTTTTTTTTTGTTTTTTTGTGATTTTTTTTTTCTTTTTGGGTCACACCCAGCGATGCACAGGGGTCGCTTCTGGCTCATGCACTCAGGAGTTACCCCTGGTGGTGCTCAGGGGACCACATTGGACGCTGGGAATCGAACCCGGGTCGGCCACGTGCAAGGCAAACGCCCTATCTGCTGTGCTATCGCTCCAGCCTCTGGCCCAGTATTTTTTGTCTTTATAGTTCCGTCTCCTGACTTGCTTATTGCTGTTGCGTCTCAGTAAGAAACCATCACTTATTTTCTCAATATTGTTGATATCAGAATCTCAGCAGATTTCGTCAATTCTGGTCAAAAGGGGTATTGTTCTTTTCCCTCCCTCCCTCCCTCCCTTCCTTCCCTTCCTTTCTCCCTCCCTCCCTTTTTGGATCACACCTGGCGATGCACAGGGGTTACTCCTGGCTTGGCTTTTCACTCAGGAATTGCTCCTGGCGGTTTGGGTAGATAATACTGGGTTAATTTTTTTTATTTGAGGGGCCCACACCTGGCTGTGCTCAAGGCTTACTTCTGACTCTGAACGCAGGGATCACTCCTAGCTCTCTTGGGGTACTTTCTGGGGTGCTAGAGATTGAACCAGTCTCAGCTACCTGTGGGTCAAGCCTTTTCTGAACCCTCCCCTGTCTCTGGCCTCTGATACTGGCAATGATGCTTACAGGCATACCTGCTTGCCAATGTCACAGTCCCTGTCAGAGTGTCCGCTGTCCCCTCCTGTGCCCTAAGCATCCTCTCCCTCCCACTCCAATCCCAGATCTCGCTTCTGGCAACGAAGACTCTAGAGCCAGGATCTCTGGTTACTGTTTTGGTTGGTTTGGGGCCACAGCTGGTCGTTGGTGTCTGACTCCTGGCCTGTGCTCAAGCATCAGCACAGATAGGGTGCCAGGGATGGAGTCTGAGTTGGCCGTGTGCAGGGCAGGCGCTCTTGCCTGCTGAGTGAGTCTGTAACAAAGCTAGTTTGGGTGTTGCCAAGCTCCTCGGCACTGACCTACTTGCCCTGTCTTCCCTTTCTTTAAACCTATTAAAAAGGGCTGGAGGGCTAGCACAGTGGGGAGGGCATTTGCCTTGCACGCGGCTGACCTGGGCTCGATTCCCAGCATCCTTATGGTCCCCTGAGCATGGCCAGGAGTAATTCTGAATGCATAAACCAGGAGTAACCCCTGTGCATCACCGGGTGTGACTCAAAAAGAAAATAATAATAATAATAATAAGGTGCAAACAGTACAGGTCTATACTACTTGCAGATTCTCCCTCACTCAACTTCGTTCCATTCAACTCACTTTTACCTTGCCTTTGATTGTGTTTGGTTCTAGAATGCACTACACAGTTTCAGGATTTGGCATTTCAGCAGTTTGATTTGGGGACAGGATCGCCAACTACAAGAGAGCTGGTAAGATTCCTAATTTTCAAAATAAATATTCCCGGCCAGAATGATAGAACAGTCGGGAGGGCACTTGACTTGCAAGCTGACATTTCATAGTGTCCCCTGAGCAGCTCCAGGAGTAATTCCTGAATGCAGAGCCAGGATTAACCCCTGAGCATGGCCTGGTGTGGCCCCTAAACCAAAATTAAGTAAAATATTCTTATGCTGGAGGGGTAGCTCTGGTCCAAGCTCATGGATTGCAAGGCGGAGTCCAGGTTTGATCTCCACCAATGCCTGTGTGTTTCCCTGGCACAGCCCACAACCTGGGGCCCAGGCCTGGGCAGCTAAGCCTCTCTGGGGTGCTAAAATGAACTCAGTATATTTTAAGTTCAAAGAAACAAATACTGGGCTGAAACATTGTACACAAGGCAGGTGCTTGGATTGACTCGGGTTCAACCCCTAGCAACCACAGGGGTCCCCCGTCCCCTCCTCCCTCCCTGCCACTCCCCCAACCCATCCAGCAGTGGCTGAAGAAGAAAAAATATTTTCCACACTGAACACATTGTGATTTCCATCCAATAGCTGGGATCACCAAGTGTTGATTGTTTGAAATTACTCACTTGGGGGACTGCAATCTCCGGCACCCTGTATGGACCCCCCCAGGAGTTTTTCCTGAGCAGAGTCAGGTAGTTCTGGTATGGCCCCAAAGTGGAACCAAATCCAAAACAATCCTCATTATTTTTTTTTTCCTTTCTTGGGTCACACCTGGCAATGCTCAAGGGTTACTAGGGGCTGGAGCGATAGCACAGCGGTAGGGCGTTTGCTTTGCACGCAGCCAACATGGCCGACCCGAGTTCGATTCCTCCGCCCCTCTCGGAGAGCCCGGCAAGCTACCGAGAGCATCTTGCCCGCCCGGCAGAGCCTGGCAAGCTCCCCGTGACGTATTCGATATGCCAGACACAGTAACAACAAAGTCTCCAATGGAGACGTTACTGGGCCCGCTCGAGCAAATCAATGAACAACGGGAGGGCCTTTACCTTTACCTTTTTAAAATGTACTGAAAAGATATGAAATAATCTTTCGTATTATATTTTATATATTTTATATATTACATATTTTTTTATAGAGCATTCGGTATGCCAGACACAGTAACAACAAAATCTCCAAATGGAGATGTTACTGGGCCCGCTCGAGCAAATTGACGATCAACGGGAGGGCCTTTACCTTTACCTTTACCTTTATAGAGCAATGTTCTTTGCTTAAGCACAGACTGTTAATGCTGTGTCCTAATGTTTGGAGACGATTGACTCCGAACTATACTCCTGGGCATCCGTCATAACTACTTAACTCAGGCTTCAGTTGCCATAGTTCCTAAACACCCCAAAAAGGGGGGGTCCCGTCGTGGGAACTTGAATGAACCCAGAGTGAGTGGCAAGGCTACCCCAGCATCGATATGGGACAGTCTAGAAAAACATAAAAAACATAAAAGCACTGTCTTGATGCAAGGCACTATGATTTATTTATTTATTTTTTTGTGGTGGTGGTGGTGTTTTCACACCTGGCAGTGCTCAGGATTTACTCCTGGCTCTGCACTTGGGAATTACTCCTGGTGGGGCTCGGGGGACCATACGGGATGCTGGGGATCAAACCCGGTCAGCCAACTAACTGCAAGTACTAATAAGAAGTAAAGTTAATTGTTTAATTTACTAGTAGCTAGGGAAAGAGGAAAGCAATCAAATGCTTGTCACCCTGGGCAGATATCTCCGAATAGCCCCTGGGAGACAATTAATCCAAGAGAATTGCCTTTGTCGAAACGCTTTTGCCTCTGTAAATGATCAGTCACACCTACGTGCAGTCCTTTATCTCGAACCCCCTCAGATGTTTATAAGTAAGCTAACAGTGCTGCATTAAACGGGCCATTCTGACCATCTATCCATATCTATTTGTTCCTCTGCTGGGGACGCTTTTGGGAGGTAACTCTGGGCCACCAAGCACGTCGAGCACTTGAACTCACACCAGACCCAAACTTGGGTGTTTTTTTTTTTATTTTTGTAATTTCTATTTTATTAAGGCATTGTGATTTACAAAGTTATTCTTAGATGGGTTGTATACATATAATGACCCAGCACCAATCCCACCACCAGTGTCATCAACTTCCCTCCACAGTTTTTCCAGAAATTAACCAAACTTGGGTTTTAAAATTTTGATTTAAAGTGGTCTCCAGGGGGGCTGGAGTGATAGCACAGCGGGTAGGGCGTTTGCCTTGCACGCGGGCAGCTCGGGTTCGATTCCCAGCATCCCATATGGTCCCCTGAGCACCGCCAGGAGTGATTCCTGAGTGCAAAGCCAGGAGTAACCCCTGTGCATCGCTGGGTGTGACCCAAAAAGCAAAAAAAAAAAATAATAATAAAGTGGTCTTCAGTTTCTGCTTTATTTTATGTCGCTCTCTACCCCTACCCCTTGTTGAGTTGAAGACGAGAAACGTTAAACTCTTGTTCCTTTTCCCGTTTGTGAACGGTGCATGTTCTTACAGCAACATTTCATCCATGTGCTGGGAATTGCATTCACATGGAAACATTAGAAACCACAGCCACAGTTCTCGCTTTCCATATGGAGATGATTTGAGGAATAGAGAAATAACTGGAATTTTTCCCTACTGTTCTGCAGGGAAACGGTCGGCCCTGGTGGAATGTGTGTGATCGCGTGGAGTGGGACAAAGTCTCGAGTGAGCAACTGTGCCTTGGTTTCGGTGGGAATGTCGAGACAGGCAGGATCTTTCCTGAAGGTGATGGGAACGGCATCCTCGCTCCGAAGATGCCCTTCCCTGGGATAAGCTTCTCCGAGTCTATTCTGCTCGGTCAGTGGACTCAAACCCCCCTGATGGGGCAGCCCCTGGACTGTGGGAGAGGAGCGCTGTTCATGGTGAGTCCTTCACACCTGCAGGCCTATACGCAAAGTCACCACGGATTGAACCCATCCAGCTGTAAGGAATGTGGGGGAGCCTTCCCATGTTCTTGGCACCATGTTGTTCCCGTCGAAACCCACAGTGGACAATATCCCCAGGAATGTCAGCAGCGAGGCCCAACTTTGAGTGAAGGGTCACCCCAGCTTGACCTTCCGAACATCCACATACGAAAGAAAACTTACCTGTGTGAGGATTGTGGGAAGCCCTTCATTTATCCCGCCAGCCTTATTAAACACAGGAAACTTCACACCGGAGAGAAACCTTACATATGCGTGGACTGTGGGAAGGCCTTTCCGTATTCCTCGGGCCTTAACGTCCACAAGAAGATCCATACCGGAGAGAAACCTTACATGTGCAACGAGTGCGGGAAGGCCTTCAGCCTGACCTCCAGCCTGACGATTCACAGGCGAATTCACACCGGGGAGAATCCTTTCGTGTGCCAGGAGTGCGGGAAGGCCTTCATCCGCTCCTCCAACCTCACCATCCACAAGCGGATCCATACTGGGGAGAACCCCTTCATCTGCCAGGAGTGCGGGAAGACCTTCGCCTACTACTCGAAGCTGCTTTCCCACGGGAGGATTCACACCCGAGAGAGACGGTACATGTGTCCGGATTGCGGGAAGGCCTTCATGGACAAATCGTACCTGTCGAAACACCGGCGGATCCACACCGGGGAGAGGCCTTACGTGTGCGGGGAGTGCGGGAAGGCCTTCATGCAGAAATCGTACCTGTCCAAGCACCAGCGGATCCACACGGGGGAGAGGCCGCACGCCTGCAGCGAGTGCGGGAAGGCCTTCGTCTCCTCCTCCGACCTCTCCCGGCACCGGCGGACGCACACGGGCGAGAAGCGTTTCGTGTGCCAGGACTGCGGCCGGGCCTTCCTGGAGAAATCCACGCTCGCCAAGCACAGGCGGATTCACACCGGGGAGCGGCCGTACGTGTGCAAGGACTGCGGCAAGGCCTTCACCCGCGCCTCCATCCTGAGCATCCACACGCGCATCCACACGGGCAAGAAGCCCCACGCCTGCCCGGACTGCGGCAAGGCCTTCAGCTACTCGCTCTCGCTCCTGGCGCACCGGCGCCTGCACACGGGCGAGAAGCCCTACAAGTGCAAGGAATGCGGGAAGGCCTTCGGGTCCTCCTCGGACCTCTCCCGACACGCGAGGATCCACACGGGCGAGAAGCGGTACGTGTGTCCGGACTGCGGGCGGGCCTTCATGGAGAAATCCTACCTGTCCCGCCACCGGCGGACCCACACCGGGGAGCGGCCGTACGTGTGCAAGGAGTGCGGCAAGGCCTTCTCGCGCGCCTCCATCCTCAGCATCCACACGCGCATCCACACGGGCAAGAAGCCCCACGCCTGCCAGGACTGCGGCAAGGCCTTCAGTCATTCCTTTTCCCTGAAGTCCCACAGGAGACTGCACACCGGCGAGAAGCCGTACGCGTGTAAGGAGTGCGGGAAGGTGTTCACCAACTCTTCCAGCCTCAGACTGCACAGGAGGCTGCATCGGAGAGAAACCTCGTAACTGTAGGAACTGCAGGGAAGGCCATTCGCTTGACCTTCACGACTTCCTTTCTCCGTCCACTTCGTTTTTGTTTTGTTTTGTTTTTTTGCCTTTTTGGGTCACACCCGGCAATGCACAGGGGTTACTCCTGGCTCTGCACTCAGGAATTACTCCTGGCGGTGCTCAGGGGACCATATGGGATGCTGGGGATCGAACCCAGGCCGGCCGCGTGCAAAGCAAACGCCCTACCCACTGTGCTATCGCTGCAGCCCCTCTCCATCCACTTCGCTCGGGCAAGAAACCCCTGCCGTGTCGGGGATGTGGGAAGGTCTTTACACTGCAGACAAATGTATTAGGGTTTTGTGTGTGTGGGAGGGGGGGGTATTATTTTTGTTTTAACTTTTTGGGTCACATCCGGTGGCTCTGCACTCTGGAGTCACTCCTGGTGATGCTCAGGGATGCCAGATCGAACCCGGGTGCCTGCGCTCAAGGCAAATGCGCCATCCACTGTGCTAGTGCTCTGGCCCCCCTGGACACTAGGAGTAAGGGTCGTGGCCAAGCCTTTGCCCGATCCTCCCTCCTTCAGAAGTGTTCACACAGGTGCTAATCACAACGCATGTCAGGAATGGGGAAGGACTTTCACTGTCTGCTCTACCCTTGCTATACTTGGGAGAGTTCACATAGGAAAGAGGCCGTATGTATGTCCAGAATGTGGAAAGGCCTTTATGAACAGAGAATTCACACGGGAGAGAAACCTTGCCTGTGTCAGGAGTGTGAGGAGGCCTTAGACATGTACAAAACGTGGGGAAGGGTGCATATGCTGCCCAAGCCATGTGCTACTTGCACCCACGTGGCCGAGCACATGTGATGCCTGCAACCCACTGTTGAGATGTGGATTTTCATATCCCAACACCGGGATGCATGTAGCGGCTTCTCCACCTCTGGAGAAGTCCATGTTCTCTCGAGCACGTTTCCTTTGGTGAACACCTTCCCGCCACTGTGTCCTTTATTTGCTCTGACTCTGATTTAGGTGAGAGCACTGTTTTGCTGGGGTACCTGGCAGCGGTCAACCTTAATACTGCATTGAATAATCTCAAATAAGAATAATCTCAAATAGAAAGGTCTTTGTCACTTATTTCTCCTTTCCCTTCCCCAAACCTCCAAATAAAATTTGTTTTTACTTCAAAAACAGAAAATAAAATTGTAGAGAGGCCTCCCCTCAACCTACCGACCAGACTGAGGCACAGGCTGTGTTGAGAATGGTTCTGTCTTTAATAGTCACTGGTAGGTTCACACTGGGGAGAGACCCCCACATGGGTTTGCCATGCGGGGAATCCTCTATGAGCAGGGTTTGAGGCCTGTCCACAAGATCCCACACTCGGCTCGGTGTCAGGTCAGCCTTGTCACGGACTCTCAAAAGGTCAGAACATTCCCCACGGTGGGGGAGCGGGGGCAAGCAGCAAAGATGCTGATCCCCCTGGTGGCAGCCACGCCAGTGTCTCAGCCTTTGGGCTTCGCCTGTGTGTGAACTTTTTCGAAGAACGGGCACTCCTGGGACAGGCGACCTCTGACATGGTGTGAAAGTAGGGTGTACTGGTGATGGGCTGGATGCTAAAACATTGTACTTGTATGCTTGGAAATCAATTCTAAGTAACTTTGTATCTTAAGTGATTCAATAAAATTATTTAAGTTATGAACAACTTTTTGAAAATAAAATTTAAACAATATCTGAAGTGGTAGACTGGTTCCTTGTGGTGGGTTCTGGGAGGATGGTGATATAGAACTAGATAACCAAAAAGCAGCCCCTCTGAGGGGGCCTCTGAAGTTGGCCACTGTGTCCTTTATTTGCTCTGACTCTGAGGTGAGAGCACTGTTTTGCTGGGGTATCTGGCAGTGATCGACCTTAATACTGCATTGAATAATCTCAAATGAGAAAGATTAAGATCTTTGTTTCTCCAGCTTTCGTATACAAAGTCACAATAGAAAGATGTTTTTTCAAGTAGCAAAGGTACCATTTTAATACTCAGCCTGCAGTGAATACTCAGATCATAGAGCACCTTAGGCAGTTGCCTTGCACACAGCCAACTTCAGTTTAATCCCCAGCACTGGGTAGGATCCCCCGAGTCCACCAGCAGGGACCCCTGCATAGAGCCAGGAGTAATCCCTGAGCACCGCCAGGTATGACCCAAAATAAAAAATCCTAAGACTTTGGTCAGTAATGTCCCCCACTCCTTTTATGTTTTATGTCTAAATTGAACCACTTTATGTGTCTGAACCATTCCAAAATTAGTAATGAACCCAGAAACAAATGCTAAACAATGACAACCATTTTCCACTGAGTTTTGCCCACAAGGAAATTACGATTTAATCCGTAAGTTATATAACATCCAATTGTTCCACTTAAATTGGTCGGACTTTTCTGCGGTGCACGATTCCATCATAGTAAATTCGGTAGAGAAATGGCACGTGAGAATATTCAATGACTTTTCTTTGTGTCCACTGCCGGGATAAGAGCTCTGAGTTTCTGCCGTTTTCCATGATTTGTACGTAGGACCACGTGCCCTCTCAGAACTTCTGGTGGATCTGGCTCCGGAGGGCTTTGTGATTTTCCACATTGTCTCCAGAGTGATTTCTCTTGATATTAAAAAAGTGAATGCAATGTACATCTAGCGAGAGTCACACAGAGATAAGGCCCAGATTTGGTCCCCAGCGCTGCTGGAAAGAAGTGCCAAGTATGTCACCAGGGCCAGTTTCTAAGCAATTGTTGGTTTGACACATAACTGACCCCACCCTCTTAACCCTCCCCCCAAAACAAAACAAAACAAAAAAAAATCTTGTTTTCAGAGTCAGAACAATAATACAGCAGGTAGGGCGTTTGATTTAGACATGGCTGGCCCAGTTAGATCACAACACCCCAACTGGTCTCATGAACCCGCCAGGAGTGATCCCTGAGCACTCCGGGGCATGGCCCCAAACCAAATCAAAACTTGTTTTCCATTCGGAAGTGTGTCCAGTGGGAATTCCAAGACCTGGTAAGATCTGAATGGCTAAGAACAGTGCTACAAAAATAAGGTTTTCACACTTATTTTTGTTCCTAAAGATTTGAAGCAAGGTGTTGCCCTAGTCCTGAGATGCGTGGGTTCTGCCTCTCATGTTAATTTTCCTGTGTTTATGAAGGCCTGAAGATTGGGTAAAGGCCTTCCCACATTCCTCACAGGAATAGTCCTTCTCTCCAGTGTGGATTCTCTTATAAAGGCCTGCCTGTTTCTTAAAGTCTTCATCGCATTGCTCAAACGTATAGGGTTTCTCTCCTGTGTGAACTCTCATATGTTCCCTCATACTGAAGGACCCCATGAAGTCTTCCTGCATTCCTTACAGGTGTGGTGTTTCTATCTAGTATAAAGTGTGAATGTGCTTATGTTACTGCACGCTGGAGGATGTAGTGAAGACCTTCCCACATTCCTCACATGCAAATGGTTTCTCTCCACCGTGAGAACGCTTGTGAATGGCCACACGCAAAGCACAAGAGAACGACTTCCTGCATATAATGCACTCAAAAGGTGTGAGACCTGAGGTGTACATAGAGAGCAGAGGAGGCCACAAAGGTCTTTCCACATTGCTTACACTGATAGGGTTTCTCCCCCGTGTGAACGCGCTTGTGAATGGAAAGATAAGAAGCCCGGGAAAAGGTTTTCCCACAGATGTCACAGTGAAAAGGCTTCTCATCTGTGTGAGTCCTATTATGCTTCCTCAGTTGGGACGAGGAGACAAAGGTTTTACTGCATCTGTCACACCGGAACGGCTTTTCTCCTGTGTGGATCTTCATGTGCTTCGTCAGGTCAGAGCATCGTGTGAAGGTCTTCCCGCATGTTTCACACACGTGGCGTTTCCTGCCGGTGTGAAAACGCTCATGAATGGCAATGTAAGAAGAGGAAGAGAACGTCTTCCCACATATGCTACATTCAAAAGGCTTCTCGCCCGTGTGCGTCCGAAAATGTTTAGTGAGGTAGGATGAAGAAGCAAAAGTTTTGCCACATCGGTCACATGGATAATTCTTCTCTCCGGTGTGAGTTCGCATGTGGACCGTGAGAAACGACCCTCGAGAAAACGCCTTCCCACATTCCTGACACACGTAGGGTTTCTCTGGGGTGTGGACGCGTGCGTGCTTCAGAAGGTCTGAGGACTGAGTGAAGGCTTTGCCACACTCCTGACACGCATAGGGTTTCTCTCCCGTGTGAACTTGCTGATGCTTCATGAGGTGTGTGGACTGGGTGAAGGACTTGCCACACTCCGGACACGCAAAGGGCTTCTCTCCCGTGTGGATTCGCATGTGTTTCATGAGGTGAGAAGACTGGGTGAAGGTCTTCCCGCACTCCTGACATGCGAAGGGCTTCTCTCCCGTGTGGATCCGCATGTGTTTCTTGAGGTGCGAAGACTGAGCGAACGCCTTCCCGCACTCCTGACACGCAAAGGGCTTCTCTCCCGTGTGGCAACGCTTGTGGATGCTGAGACTTGACGAACTGCTCAAGGTCTTCCCACAGATGTCACAAGGCCACGGCTGCACCCGGGTGTGCGCTCGCACGTGCTTCGACAGCTGTGAAGCAGCAGCGAAGGCTCTGCCACAGTGCTCACACGTGTAAGCTCGCTCTCCCGAGTGAGGGCGAAGGACTGAGGCCTGAGCTGACGCCTCGCCGTGGGGCGCACGCGCAGAGCGTTTTCCCGCCGTGCGATTCTTCATGTGAGCTTTAAGGTTCTTTGAACACTCGAAGCTTCGTCCACATTCCTGGCAGGCCTGGGCCCCGAGTCCAGTCTGAATTTGACCGTGAGTGTCCAGACAAGAGGAACTTCTAAAATCCTTTCCGTGCTGACCACCAGGACAGGTGTTCCTCCCACTGGCATGTTGTGTCTTCGGAAGCTGGTGACTCATCTGCGGGTGCGTGTTCCCAGCGGCGGGTTTCTTGAGTGTGCGGAGGCTGATTCTGTTTTCCTTTTTTTCAGAAGAGATCCCGTCTGCCTGATCATTCCCAGGGGGAGGAAGGCATGGACTTGCTCCCAAGCCTTGGTCAGATTTATCCCTTTTAGACGCATTCCATGAGATCTCAGGGTTCGGCTGTTGAAAAGAGCGTTGATGTAAACATTTCTATAGGAAATGGGATGACCTCTATGAAATCTAGAACCAGGGGCTGGAAAGACAGTACTGTGGGTATGATGCTTGCCATGCAAACGGCTTGGGCACCATGGTCCCCCAAGACTGCTAGGAACAATCCCTGAGAACAGAGCCAGGAGTAAGCCATGAACACAGGTGTGTCCCAAAGATAACAACAACAACAACAACAACAGAGGCTAGCGCAATAGTATAGGACAAAGGGCATTTGCCTTGCACGGGACAACCCACAGGTTCGATCCCCGGCATCCCCATACAGTTCCCCAGAGCCCCGCCAGGAGTCATCACTGAGTGCAGAGTCAGCAGTAACCTTGGAGCTTTGCCAGGCGTGGCCCAAAAACCCCACACCCCCAAAATATTTTAAAATAAAATGTGGTGTGTATATATATATGTATAAAGTAAAAAGTAAAGCAAAGGCCCTCCCATTGATCATCGATTTGCTCGAGCGGGCCCAGTAACGTCTCCATTGGAGACTTTGTTGTTACTGTGTCTGGCATATCGAATACTCTCGGTAGCTTGCCGGGCTCTCCGAGAGGGGCGGAAGAATCGAACTCGGGTCGGCCATGTTGGCTGCATGCAAGGCAGACGCCCTACCTGCTGTGCTATCGCTCCAGCCCTATATATATGTATATATATGTATATATACATATATATAATAGAGCGGGTAGGGACCTTGTCTTGCATGAGGCTGACCCAGATTTGATCCCCAATACCCTGTACAATACCCCCCAAGCCACGACAGGAGTCATCCTTAAGCAAAGAATTAGGGGCAAACTCTTGTGCCCCACCAGGTATGACTCCAAAATAATAATAATAATAATAATTTAAAAATTCCCAAATTTACCATATTCAGAAATGCTACTGGGTCATTTTGTAATTTTGGTTAAATAATACAAAAGTTAATTATGTACCATCTCTTTTATCTGATAAAAATCTGAAGAATTTTTCAGTATGAAAAATAAGACAGGGGCTGGAGCGATAGCACAGCGGGTGCCTTGCACGCGGCCGACCCTGGTTCGAGTCCCAGCATCCCATATGGTCCCCCGAGCACCGCCAGGAGTAATTCCTGAGTGCATGAGCCAGGAGTAACCCCTGAGCATCGCCGGGTGTGACCCCAAAAAGCAAAAAAAAATAATAATAAGACATAATAATTTTAAATTTATGAATCTTACCATAGCAGGGCTGTTCGATTGTAAGATGGAGTCATTGTTCTTAAACTGTGGTTCCGATTCTAAAATAAAACAATAGGTCACAGAAGTTGTACATGGGACTGGAGCGATAGCACAGCAGATAGGGCATTGGCCTTGCACGCGGCTCACCCAGGTTCGATTCCCAGCATCCCGTACGGTCCCCTGAGCACTGCCAGGAGTAATTACTGAGTGCATGAGCCACAAGTAACCCCTGTGCATCGCGGGTGTGACACAAAAAACAAACAAAAAAGAAGAAGAATGTTGATTCATCTACACTGCTTGTAAAATAAATACGTTAAGAAAAGTCCTCATTTGGAGAAGTTTGACAATGTCAAAACGGTGGCCTTTTTTTGTTTTTTGGGGGGCCAACACTCAGCATTGCTCAGGGTGGACTCCTGGCTCTACACTCAGGAATTAGTCCTGGTGGGGCTCAGGAGACCTGTTGGGATGCTGGGGATCGAACCCGGGTTGGCTGCTTGTAAGGCAAGCACCCTGTCCCTCCAACCTCTGAAAACTGTGACTTTACCAAGTAAAAGGTAAGGTAAAGGTAAAGGCCCTCCCATTGATCGTCGATTTGCTCGAGCGGGCCCAGTAACGTCTCCATTGGAGACTTTGCTGTTACTGTGTCTGGCATATCGAATACTCTTGGTAGCTTGCCGGGCTCTCCGAGAGGGGCGGAGGAATCGAACTCGGGTCGGCCATGTTGGCCGCTTGTAAGGCGAACGCCCTACCCGCTGTGCTATCGAACCGGAATTAAACTTTATTAGGAAAGAAGAAACTGATTATGCAATTCAGAAAGTTTTGAAAGGCCTTAGATATTCTGGGGGTGGCGTTGGGTTAAGGTGTAAATGTGTTGGGGCTGGAGGCGTTTGACCTGTATGAGGCCAATCCTGGTTTGATCCCCAGAGTCTCATAGAGTCCCCAAGCACTGCCAGGAGTGATCCCTGAGTGCAGAGCCAGGAGTAACCCCCGAGCATGGCTGAGTGTGACCCAAAACAAAACAAACAAACAAAAAAAGCAAAACCAGCTGCTGGAGCAATAGCACAGCGGGTAGGGCATTTGCCTTGCATGCGGCCAACCCGGGTTCGATTCCCAGCATCCCATATGGTCTCCTGAGCACTGCCAGGAGTAATTCCTGAGTGCAAAGCCAGGAGCAACCTCTGTGCATCGTTGGGTGTGACCCAAAAAGCAAAAATGAAAACCACTCACCGCTAAGGATGCCTCTCGCCACTGTCCTCAAGTCTCTTTCTTCCAACCAAGAAATCAGTGCTGGCTTAGACATGCAATTCCCTGTGGCAGAGGAGGATGGATTTGTGGCTAAGGGGCATTTCAGAATACACAGGCCTTGCCCGGAATCAACTCTGCCTTCCTACTTCCTAATCAAGTAAAATGACTTCAAAGAGGAGTGAGGTGATATTACAGAAGGGAAGGCTTTTTGTCTTGAATGCAGTTGGTCTGGGTTCAATTCCCACTGCCCCCAGAGGGTTCCATAACCTTGCCAGGAGTGAGCACAGAGCTAGGAGTAAGCACAGCCAGATATGGTGCGATCCTCCCAAAAACAAAAATAGGAAAAAAAAGTTATATAAAAGAGAAAGGATGTATTTATATTCTGGGTCTCATAAAGATGGTTTCACCTGGATCCTTAAGACCCAAGTTCGGGCTAGAGTGATAGTATAGCTGGTAGGGCATTTGCCTTGCATATGGCCAACCCAGGTTCAATCCCCGGCATCCCATATGGTCTCCCGAGCACTGCCAGACCTCCAAGAGTAATTCCTCAGTGAACAGCCAGGAGTAACCCCTGAGCACTGCCAAATATAGCTCAAAAACAAAAACAAAACAAACGAAAAAGATCCAAGTTTAAGTTTTTAGCCTCAAAGAAGATGGGAGTTGAATACAAAGGCATCTTGCACCTTTTCTTTTTTTTGGGGGGGGGGAGGTGTGGTGTACTCAGCAGTGCTCAGGGAATACTCCTGGCTCTGTGCTCAGAGATACTCTTTGCAAGCTCAGGGGACCTTATGGGATGCTGGCGATCAATCCTGGGTCAGCGGCATGTCAGGCAAGCGCTCTACCCACTGGCCTATCCTGAAGCATCAGGGCAGGAGGTCAAAGCGCTAGAGGCAGAAAGACCTGGGTAGAAACCCAGCGCCCTGACTCCTCCCTCAGCACTGCTCCAAGCAGGAAACCCAAGGCAGGGCTGTAGTCTGAGTTTCCTGCTTCAAAATGAAACAATTTAGAAACACCTTGGTATGTATTGATACTTACTGGAAATTAGGACAAGGCAAGAGACATATTAAATTTCAAGGGGAAACTGCTATTCCCAGGGGTCAAATGTTGCTGCCCAGGGTGGGCTGGAGTGATAGTTTGGCTCAAAAATCAAAAATAAAATTAAACACACACACACAACACACACACACATCCCAAAATTTAGGGAACGGAGTGATAGTACAGCAGGTAGGGTATTTGCCTTGCACACGGATGACCTGGGTTCAATCCCCAGCTTCCTAGACAGTCCCCAGAGCACTGCCAAGAGTAATTTTAGTGTAGAGCCAGGAGTAACCCCTGAGCATTACTGGTTGTGACAACCCCCCCCCCCCCCCAGCAAAAAAAAAAAAATCAAATTTAATCTGAAAGGGAGCCCCAGTGATCATGTCCTGTATCCAAGATGAATTCTGAGAATCCACATCAGGGAAGTGGAGGAATATGGAGCCACATTTGACAGAAGTCACAGCGGATGAAAACGGGGAGGGGGGGTGCAGAGGAGTGTCTGTCCCATCACCCTGACTTCCCAGCAGCTGTCCCCAGCCTGTCCGGCAGGAGCCCACGTGGGTTCATCCCAGCCTGGGTGACAGCCCTCACCGCCCTCACCGACAGCCCGCAGGTGCTGGTAGGTCTCCAGCATCACGTCCCTGTAGAGCTTCCGCTGAGAAGCATCCAGGCACGTCCACTCCTCCAGGGTGAAGTTCACAGCCACATCGGGGAACGTCACTATGTCCTGAGCAGACACACACAGGGGGTGGGAGTCAGGGCTGCCCCCCTATTCCCTGGGCCACGAGGATGAGTCCCTACAGGGCCCTAGAGGGGCTCAGGGCCTCCTTGCTCAGGAGGAACCAGCCTTGAAGCCCCCTCCATGCACCCTCCTGGCCCCCCGAATCACTGAGGGTTTAATTTGCATCCGCAGAACAGAGGGTAGGGCATTTACCTTGCATGTGGCTGATCCAGTTTCGATCCCAGGCACCTCGCAAGGTCCTTTGTGCCCCGCTAGGAGTGATCCCTGAACAAAGAGCCAGATTAAGTATAAACCCCCCCTCCCCCAAATAAAGAGAAATGCAAGTGAAAATCAAATCGAGACATTCCCACTTTATTTTTCTCCATGCTATAGCACCCAACAAAGTAAAGACTAAGAGACTGTCCAGGGGGCCAGAGAGGACAGCAGGGAGGGCGCTTGTCTTGCATGAGGCTGACCTGGGTTGGGTCTCCCGAACTCCACAGAATCCCCCAAGTCACCCCAAGAGACACCCCTGAGAACAAAACTGGAAGTAAGCTCTGAGCACAGCCCCAAAACAAAACAAAATAATAATAATTAAAAGAAAACAAATAAGAGATCTTCCTAGTGAGAGACAGTATCAGGAGACTAAATGATTAAAATATTTACTAAACGATTAAAATATGATTAAATAGATTATGATATAAATATGATTTAAATATATTGTGATTTAAGTATACTTAGATCATAATGAGAATTAATAAGATATATTGTTTAAATATAAAATGATTTCAATATAACATTTGAATATTTATTATAAATTAAATATTAAAATTATTGGGATTTAAATATGTCTGAATCATAATACTTATTACCACAATATATTATGATTTAAATATATTCAAATATAAAATATCATTAAAGTATTGCTTAAATTATAAATATAAAATATACTGAAATATGATTACACATATTATAATTTAAATATTGGACTCTGGGGCGAAGTGACAGTGAAGTGGGTAGGTCACCTGCCTCTCACATGGCTGACCCAGACTCCAACCCCAGCACCCCACAGGGTCCCTGGGCCATCGTGGACCACCTGACTCCCAGGAGTAACTACTGAACATTGTTGGGTGTGACCTAAAACCCAAACAATCAACAGTAATAAAATACTGGCTCAGTAGTGTGAGTCTACCAGAGAGCAACAGGGAGGCGTGAAGGGAAGTCTCAGGCTCAGACCAGATTCACTTAAGACCTGGATGCAGAATTCCTCCAAGAATGTCCTTTCATTTCTGCAGGCCACACTTTTCTGCTTACCTGAGGATAAGCCCTCCGATGGCAGGTTGCCATCTCCCCAGCCTCTGCTTCTGTCAGGGGGGCAGCGGGAAAACCTGGAAGAAAAGGCAAAGTCAGGGGGCTGGAGCGATAACACAGTGGGTGGGGCATTTACCTTGCATGCGGCCGACCCAGGTTCGATTCCCAGCATCCCATATGGTCCCCCGAGCACCGCCAGGAAAATTCCTGAGTGCAAAAGTCAGAAGTAACCCCTGTTCATCGCCGGGTGTGCCCCCCCAAATAAATAAAATTTTAAAAAATGGGAACAAAGTCAGGAGCACAGAGAGAGGGTGCAATGTCCCTCCACTGCCATGAGGTGCCCACACGTGTGTCTGGCAACAACCTTCCAAGGGGCAAAGTAGGTTCAGAGTCAATGGGCTGGGACCAGAGCCATAGTACAGCTAATGCGAGTTCAATCCCCGCACCCTTTAAAGTCCCCAAGCAGCCAGAAGTGATCCCTGACCACAGAGCTACGAGGAAACCCTGAGCACTACCAGCGAGGCCCCCCCAAAAAAACTAAATGGGACCACAGTAATGAGGAGGGACCCAGATTCTATCTCTGGTATCTCATAGGGTCCCTGAGCATCACCAGGAGTGCAGAGGCAGGAGTAAGCCCTGAACATCGCTGAGTGTGGCCCCCAAACTAAAACCACAAAGTAAAGCGACAGTTCTCAAAACTGGGATAAAGGACTAGAGTCAGGGACCAGAGCGATAGTACACCAGGAAGGGCGTTTGCCTGACATGCAGCCAACCCCGGTTCGATCTCCAGCATCTCATAGGGTTCCCAAGCACTGCCAGGAGAGATTCCTGAGTGCAGAGCCAGGAGGAATCCCCGAGCATCGCCGGATGAGACCCAAAAACCTCCAAAAGAAAGAAAGCTAGAGGTAGGGGCCAGTGCGATAGTCCAGAGGGGAGGGCATTTGCCTTGCATGCAGAAGACCTGGGTTCAATCCCCAGCATCCCACCGCCAAGACTGATTCCTGAGCTCAGAGTCAGGAGTAACCCCTGAGCGTCGCTGGTGTGACCCCCAAAGCCAAAAATTAATAAATAAAAGAACAACTAGAGGCAGAAGACAGGACAGAGGGGAGGGCGTTTGCCTTGCATGCAGAAGACCTGGGTTCAATCCCCAGCATCCCACCGCCAAGATTGATTCCTGAGCTCAGAGCCAGGAGTAACCCCTGAGCATCACCGGTGTAACCCCCAAAGCCAAAAATTAATAAATAAAAAAAACAACTAGAGGCAGAAGACAGGACAGAGGGGAGGGCGTTTGCCTTGCACGTGGCTGACCTAGGTTTGATCCCCATCATGCCAGAGGGTTCCCTGAGCACCACTAGGAGTATCCCTGAGCACAGAGCTAGGAGTAAGCCTTGAGCAATGCTGAGCATGGTCCTCAAAAAAAAGTAGTGCTTACAAAATAACAAAGAGAGAGGGCTGGAGAGATAGGACAGCAGGGAGGGCATTTACCTTGCACAGGACCCACCTGGGTTCAATCCCAACACCCCCTATAGTTCTCTGAGCACTGTCAGGTCTATTTCCTGACCTCAAAGAAGTTAGCCCTGAGCACTGCTAGGTGTGGCCCTAAACAACTTCTACATTAAAGCAGATGTTGGGGTCAGAGTACAGCAGGGAAGACACTTGCCTTTCACATGACTGACCCGGGTTCAATCCCCGACATCCTCTTAGGGTCCCCAAGCACCACCAGGAGTAATTACTCAGTGCATCGCCAGGTAAGTCCCCAAAACGAACTCCTGGCAAAAGTAACCCCTGAGCATTGCTGGGTGTGACCCCCCAAAAATGTAAATAAATACATACATGCATACATACAAATAAATTATATATTTTTAAATTTTAAAAGTCCCAGGCAGGGGCTGGAGCAACAGCACAGCAGGTAGGGTGTTTGTCTTGCACGCAGCCAACCTAGGTTCGATTCCCAGCATCCCATATGGTCTCCCGAGCACCGCCAGGAGTAATTCCTGAGTGCATGAGCCAGGAGTAACCCCTGTGCATCGCCGGGTGTGACCCAAAAAGCAAAAAATAAATAAATAAATAAAAAAAGTCCCAGGCAGAGGCACTTTGGGAAACATATGAACCAACTTTGCAGGAAGCAAGCCGTACTCATTCCATTTTGGAATCATCCGCAACCAAACCTGGGGGTATAATCCCTTCCTATGGCACCATGGAACTCTCTCTCTGCAGCAAAGACATTTGTGTTTGCTGTCTCTTGGATATGCTCTCACTTTCCTCTCCCCTTTGAATAAAAATTATTTGAAGGCTGGGTTGATAGGACAGTGGGTCAGGCCTTGCACACAGTCGACCTGGGCTTGACCCCCGGCGTCCTATAGGGTCCTCTGAGTCCCTCCAGGAGTCATCCCTGAGTTCAGAGCCAGGAAGGAGCAAGCCAGGAACACCGCCAGAGGCGCCCAGAAAATCAAAAAGTGAGGGCTGGAGCGATAGCACAGTGGGTAGGGCATTTGCCTTGCATGTGGCCAACCCAGGTTCGATTCCCAGCATCCCATTATGATCCCCTGAGCACCGCTGGGAGTAACTCCTGAGTGCATGAGCCAGGAGTAACCCCTGTGCATCGCCAGGTGTGACACTCCCCCCCCCCAAAATCAAAAAGTGATTTTGTTCTCCTTTTTTAACTTTGGGGGCCTCACCTAGCAGTGCTTAGGGGATCATCAGTGCTGGGCATCGGCCCAGGCTCCGATGTACCAAGTGCCCCCCCAGCCAGTTGAACCTTCTCTCTGGCCCTTACAACTGTTTC